TCTGACATTCTGCTACCACTAGCCCTCCACCACTGGGTCGGGCCAAGTGGTTAAGGCGTCTGACATTCTGCTACCACTAGCCCTCCACCACTGGGTCGGGCCAAGTGGTTAAGGCGTCTGACATTCTGCTACCACTAGCCCTCCACCACTGGGTCGGGCCAAGTGGTTAAGGCGTCTGACATTCTGCTACCACTAGCCCTCCACCACTGGGTCGGGCCAAGTGGTTAAGGCGTCTGACATTCTGCTACCACTAGCCCTCCACCACTGGGTCGCAGGTTCGAGGCCTACTTCAGGCAGTCGCCAGGTATTCGCTGTAGATCAGTGTTTTTTACTCCAGGAACTCCGGCATTCCTCCACCACCAAACCTGGCACGTCCTTAAATGACCATAGCTGTTAATAGGACAGAAAACACACACAAACAAATGATTGATGTGAAAAGGTAATGGATACCACTTATATGGTATCCAAACGCAAGTGTTTTCTGTGGGTACTCCAGTCAGTTTCCTATCACAATAAGACCTCCTATGCACTTTTAACAGGGCCAAATATAACATGATATAACTTGATTCATATTTGTTGTAAAAGTTTAGGTGTGATATGTGTTTTTAGGAGCTACAGGTTCCAGAGGAGACAGAGCAGTATCCAGAAACTATGGTGCGTCAGTAAGTCTGGGTCAAGTTGATATAGAGATCAAACAAGGGGACATCACCAAGGCAACAACACCTGCCATTGTCAACAGTACGGGCGATCACTTGGATCTCACCAGAGGTAGGGCACAACTCCTAGCTGTCTTCTATACATTGTATCAGATCATTTGCATACCTGAATGTTTCAGGCTTTCAGCACAATGAAGGTGGTTATTCTTTGTAAAAATGTTTGCACATTTTCCTGTCTAAATTTTTCCTAGTGTGGACATTTTGAAATATAGCAATGCAGCTGCGATGTTTACATATTTTTATATATGATAATGTATCAATGTGTTTGTAAACATGAAATAAGTAACAAAATCTGTAGCTGACGTTGGAGCAATTGTAACATTATAAATTGCTGAGGCCATGAAAGCTGTATTTTACCAAATGTTGGAAAGTGTCACAATAAATATTTTCATTGATATATTGGGTAAAGTACAAAATATCTCAGCTGGTACAATAGTATTTGGGATTAGGTGCTTCAAACACTGCTAGAGAAAACAAGTTGTTTACTAGACAGTTTCAGATGGGGGGGGGGGGGGGGGGGGGGGGGGGGGGGGGGGTGGGGGGGGGCTGCGGTGGTCAAGTGGTTTAGGTGTCTAACATTCTGCTACCACTAGCCCTCCACCACTGGGTCGTGGGTTCGAGACCTTTGTGGGCAGGGCTCACGCTGTCGGTAGCCAATGTAGCCATTGACTATCTTTAATTTTTTATTGGCTACTAAAAATTCGATGTGGCTACTAAATTGACTACTAAGTTTTTAAAAATGGGGAAACTCTGTATCTTTGTCCCAGAAAACGATCCGTCTACTCGAGCTCACGTGTGTATTGTGGCTGACACTGATTGCGTAAACATAATCAGGGCCGTCACAGATCAGCGCGAGCTGTACGACCGCGAGTTAATTAATGCTTTTGTCTAAGTTGTAAAGTCAATTATCAAGCTTCAGGTGGCAAAAGGTTTTATAATTCTTGTACAATAATGGAGTGGGGTCAAGTTAATTGGATGACCCATTGACGTTGAGAAAACAGTCTGATAAGCGATCACACGTGCACCGTAGGTCTCGCACACGTACATTTGACGGCGCCGTAAGTCGATCTGATAAACTCGTTCAAACACCGCATCCAACAAATTTATAGGTTCAGTATATTTAAATTAGTGTACATGGTTTTCATTTACCTTTTCCAGTACCGTAGAAAGCATAAATTCGTCCGATATGCTTGATTAGAAAGTATAAGTATCGCCTTGAAACACCATGTCGATGTGCCGATTTTCGGCCTTTCTGATCACTTCAAACGATAGGCCCTATATCGTATCTGACTGTGTACCTTCGTGGTTAGACGTTTTAGAGTTTCAAGTGACCGAGAAAGTTATTTAGCATCGCAGTTATGCGGTGGCTTTTAGAACAGCAAACCGTTCAGAATTACTTCGACGGTCGCTTGTATTATAGGTGCCAATCGACGACAGGTGCACAGGAATGGCCAAGTTGTGCGAAGTGATGTGCTCCCAATTTATTTCATTATTTCGTCAATACCGTTATAAATTTGTCCTTTTCCTTTCAAATGTGTTCTACTGCCATTTACATTTGATATGTGTGATCTTTTTAAATGTATTTTTTTTTTTTTTACATAAAACATGAATTACGGAAAAATAATTATCAATATTGCATCACTTAGGCTACTTTTTATTTGAATTTTATTAGTTTTATTTTTTGATTGAAGGCACGGAATTAAAGGCGAATAATATCTTAAAATTTAAACTTTCAACCTAGATTTTTTCACAATTCCTGTGTCAAGAAATGAGATAAAGTCTGAAAAAGTCTCTCTTTGGGAAAAAAAAAAAGACCACATTATGAATTAAATTATAAACATGATGTATAACAAAATTATTTTTTTTACAGAGTACTCCTTAATTTAACAGCATATTGAATAGTATTGCACTTCAAAAAATATTAAATATTTAGGGAGCCTATCCGTAACGGCTGGAGGCCTAGAAAGTATGGCCACTGTTTAAAAAAAATGGCTACTGAAATTCAAACATGGCTACTTTTTTGGCTACTGATTTTTTAGGTCCAGGGTGAGCCCTGGTGGGGCAGTCGCCAGGTACTGGCTATGGTTGGTGATTTTTCTCTTGGAACTCTGGCTTTCCTCCACCACCAAAACCTGGCACCTCCTTAAATGACCAAAGCTGTTAATAGGACATAAAACACAAACAAAACAAAGGTAGTTTCACTGGTCTATTTGCTGGTTTGATCACTGATGATTAAGTGGGCTGGGAGTTACTTCCCCTTGATCACTGATGATTAAGTGGGCTGGGACTTACTTCCCCTTGATCACTGATGATTAAGTGGGCTGGGAGTTACTTCCCCTTGATCACTGATGATTACATGTAAGTGGGCTGGGAGTTACTTCCCCTTGATCACTGATGATTGGGCTAGGAGTTATTTCCCCTGGATCACTGATGACTAAGTGGGCTAGGAGTTACTTCTCCTTGATCACTGATGATAAAGTGGGCTGGGAGTTACTTCCCCTAGATCACTGATACTTAACTTAGATTATTCTGAACGCAGGCATATACATTTGCCTCTATATTCAGATCACAGTCCTTCAAATAATAATTATATACATGTAATATAGTGTATGTGACATCACTCGGGTGTTATTGTAAACATCCTGTCACCAGTGTCCCAAAACTTATCATAGCGATTTTTAAATGTTATAATATTCGGAGCTTGGACCATGTTCTCGGGTAAGGAGTTCCAGCTGCTGACTACACGCTGAGTAAACGAGTATTTGCGAACTTCTAATCTACTTCTTGATTTGTCCATGCAGAATGAATGCCCTCAAGATCTTTTGTCTTGTTTAATTAATAGAAGCCCTGTTGATCCTGATGTATCATATATGCCTGACAATATTTTAAATACTTCGATCATGTCTCCCCTGTTCCTTCTATGGACTAATGATGGAAGTTTAAGTCTATTCATTCTTTCCTTGTATGAAATATCCTTCATCCCTAGCAGTAATTTGGTAGCTCTCCGCTAAACGTTTTCTAAAAGGTTGATATCCTGTTGTTTGTATGGTTTCCAAACTCCATATTCCAAGTGTGGTTCATACTAAATCTTTATATAACAGGCAGAATGTTTTGTTGTCCAAAAATGTGTAAGTTCTTCTGATGGCTCCAAGTACTCTATTCACTTTGTTTACTGTGGCTTGTATGTGGCTTTTGAAATTTAACTTATTGTCTAAAATTATTCCTAGGTCTGTCTCTTCAACTTCCTCCTTCAGCTTTACCGTGCTCCTCATACCGTCCATATCCTTGTAAAGGTGGAGACCATTTGGATTTTTATCCTTTGCCAAATATAGTGCTTTACATTTATCTGGGTGAAACTTTAGTAGCCACGTATCTGACCATTGATGCAGATTGTCAAGGTCCTTTTGTAAATCTCCCTGTTCACTGGTATCCTTGTACAATTTGGTGTCATCTGCAAATAGCAGGGTCTTCGAACCTTTTACTACATCAGGCAGGTCATTGATAAAAAGTGGGCTGGGAATAACATCCCCTGTCCAGTTTGAATTGTGAACAAGGAGTTGTACACAAGGCTGACACAAGATTCCTGTTCTATAATATGTGACCTGATCATTCTCAGCAAGATTGTAATAATTAGTGATTTATTGATAAAGTATGCTAACAGTAATAATTAGTGATTTATTGATAAAGAATGTTAACAGTGATATTTAGTGATTTATTGATAAAGTATATAACAGTAATAATTAGTGATTTATTGATAAAGTATGT